GGGGGGGGGCTACCGGTGTGCCGTTCCTGCTGGCTGTCACGTTTGAGAGTCTCTGCCCTGACCAGGCTAAAATCAGGTGATCCGCATACAGTATGAATGTGCGGATGTGAGATTCACTGTGAAAAAGTAGTATGCAACGCGGTAAGTTTTACTTTCGGTGAAACTGTTTATGTTAAGGTTGTTCTTTCAGGCATGGGGTATAACGGTAAAACCTTTCGTCCTGTCTGTAGTACGGACTCCGCACAGCCGCCGGAAACTAATTCTAGTTGAAATTCGCAGTGATTCAAACTCATCGACTCGTGTCGGTATGGGCAGTGCGCACGTGTCACGGCCGGTCTGAGAAACTCAGCTGGCGGACGAGCGAGTCGCGAGTCTGCTGCATCAGCGGCGCGGAGCAGCGGCAAGTCGCAGTTATTGCAAAATTTGGAGTCGTCAAACTGGTCTTGGGGTGCGGGGCTCACTAGAGAAGGGGTGTGGTGGAGGGGGGGTCGGGGGTCAGGAGAGAATAGAGGAGCGGGGGAGAGGAGTCATTCCGTCACAGTACGACATGCGAGTCTGTGGAACTCATTCAAGTAATGATCGCAAGCTCTATAGCAGAATTTTCGAGTATAATTCTTTGGCGCTCATTAAAAACATCTGTGACCCTCAATCGCCAACAAAGGAGCCAACAAATCAAAACGAGCTGCGTTCGCCGCAGATTGGATGGGATATGCTGCAACAAAACTCTAATCCGATCCCCCGTCATCGTATGTAACGTTATGTCACGGAACACAGCATATTGTGTGATGTGTGCGCTGCTTGTGCGCCCGCCAGATGTCGTCCGATTCGACCGGGAGAGAAAAGGCGGGAGAGAGGGGGAGGGGGACAGAGGGGTATAAGATTAAAAGTATTGTGCGCCACGTTCCCCCCACTTACTTTCTATCTCTGTCTCTTTCTTTCTTCGTGCGATCCAATCGCTAGTCAGCTCGAATTACGGAAGTGTTGACAATATCACTATCCCAGGACAACGACACTTATACTTGTTTATTGAAAAGGGAAAAACAACATGGATGTTCTTCCGTTTTATGGATCCCAAAAACTGTGCGTGGGGCTATGCGAACAGAAGAAACGTCTTCACTATTGGCAAGGAGCCCGCCGGGAAAAATAAAATAAAAGAAATGGAATATCGGGGTGATATCACCGCACTGGCCGCCACACCCAGCGACACCGACTGGTCCCGGATGGTCCGACCCGGCCACGCAGCGCACTTTGATATTTCGGACGGAAGCGACGCGTTTTTCATCCGTCACGTGACCCTCGTGACCCCAACGACTCGAATGACCCGCGTGAGGCTCCCGCCGCCACCCGTATGACCCTGACATGCCGCGACGGACCCCTCGCCGGTCGCGTTTAATCACCTGTCAAAGCAGACGCGGAATCTCGCCTCCTCGAAAACAACACCAACGCGGCGGCGATGCTCCAAAATAAAATGATTACTTTGGCAGGCTCCGCCGCCAGCCGCACGACGTACTGCTCGCTCTGGACAGCGGCTCATCAGTCGAGCCGGATAGGAGTGATGCTCTAGGAAGCTAGCAGCACGCTCTTCTGGCAACACTACTTATCATCTTCTCACCTCGTCATGTCTATCCTTTATTTTTCTGCGTGCACACCCGTTTGTTTTTCTTTTAGACTTCTTCTCTATTTTTAAACAGAAAAACTACGAAATGGATGACGCTCCGCCTCCTCACACGCCACGCGATACCCCCTCTCGGCCCGGGCCCGGGGCGGGACGGCGCCTGCGGAGCTGTCGGGTAGGCAGCCCCGTAACGCACCAGTGCTGTGCGGGCCGGCCTACCCCACACTCCACAGGCGTTTGGAGCGGAAAAGCTTTTAATTGCTACGACGTCAAACACAGAAAAAGGAGATAAGGAGGGGGGATCTTTTAAAGAAATGTAACTTACCAATGTCGACTTTGAAGCCGTCCCCGGCCTTGCTGGCCACGTCGGTGAACACTACGCTGGTGCACAGACACGCGTCCAGGCGGGACACGGGCGTGCTGCCCTCGTAGTAGCACACGAGCTCTCTGGTAGGCGGCTCTGGACAAACGTCTGCAAGGCGCGACAGAAAGGGTGGAAATAATGTCACGTAATTTATTTCATATAATTGCCGCTATAAGAGAACATTGGGGGAAATTCTTGTAAGGTTTACAAGAATATTTTCCATGATGTGAGTTGTAAAGTTGAACTTAAAAGGAATAGGCTGTCGTATATTTTACAACATATTTTGTAAATCGTACATACAAAATATGTTGTAAACTAACGAAGATATTTTTCACAGAGGCAATAGCACCCTATGAGCTGACTCACCCTTAGGAGCCCAGGTCGTGGTGTCTCCCGCCGCGCTGCACGCGAGGGCGAAGCACAGCCCCAGCGCCACGCGGGCCGCCAGGCTGCGCGCCGGCCCCGCACCCCTCCCCATCCTCCTGCAACACAGAAACCAAAGAGTTAGAACGTGCATCTTTACAAAACAACTAATATTTTATTTTTTCATGTCTATGTCTCTGTTTGATGGGTGTACAGAATGTACTCTGGTCGTGCGACATTGAACGGTGTGCGGCAGCGACGGCCTGCCTTTGCCCCGCCACCGCGCCGCGTTGACACGCTGGCCGAGTGGCATTGTGCCTCGATCTAATTAACGCCGACAAAGGGTCACACCGGCCGCCACGCCCCGCCCCGCCACTGGTCCAGTGGGTCGCACTGTCGCCCGCTCATGCTCTAACGCCGCTGACGCCCGCTGGGAGTCCTGGGGAGTTCCGTGGGCATTCTAGTTGGCCCCGCTGCCAGATAAAATCCCGAGATCTCCACCTTCACAAACATGTTCATACGCCGTAACGGCGCGGTGACTAAGATTTTACGGCGAACGAAACAAAATAAAAATGCTATTCCAACGCGGATGTGCCGACGGCCAACATTCCTCGTCCTCCTCGAGTACCGCCTGTGACCTCGCCTGACCCCTCAAGGTCGGACTGGGGCCCCGAAACCGGGTGACAGCAGGCGACAGGAACGGCAACGGCAGCGGTGACCGCACCCAGTCGCCACAGCACTCTCCGCCCCGACCTGTATTCTTTTTCAGATTCCCCAGAAAGTGATAAAAACATATGAAGGACATTTTTAGTACGCACATACCCCAAAAGGAAGAAAACCATTAGAATAACTTTGGCAAGGACTTGTGTCGAGAATCACACAACCTCAGGAAAGTGACGCGCGCGCTCGCCACTTTTACACACTTGTGGCATGGCGTGGCGCGCTGCGACCCAACCCAAAATAAATGTTGATCTGCATCTCGTTACGTTGCACAATAGTGAGCTCGTGTGAGTGAGTGAGTGAGAGAGGGGGGTCAGTGTTCAGATTGGCGGTGAGTCCCCCCCC